GGATATTTGCTTTCCCAGTCAGTCATTAGAGTACTGTATTTGCCCTTGAGAGGGAGCAGATGGCTTGGCACAAAGGTGAAATAAAAGACTATCTTAGATAATCTGAGTCTTTGGCACAATTCTCAAACTCTTCGAGGTCAAAGTTTTGTGGTGATAAAATGTCAAGTTCAGAAGACCTTTTTCTGCTTTGTTTTCCTTTACGGCCATGTGTGATTCTTTTCAATGAGTCCATTCATTTGTATTAATCCAATATCTCTTTTTCTTGATGCTGCTATCATTATTTTTTTACCCATTTTCATGCCTTTATCACCTTCTACTTGGATTATTTCAACACTATTAAAATCAATTTTTTGATTCTACCCTCCCACTTTTGTATACCCTGTTCTCTCTGCTATCAAAATTATCTTTAAGAAATGTAGGGATTATCATGCCTGTCTCTTCTCTAGGGTTCTTTATATCTCTTTCTTGTCAATAATTATGATCTAAAATGAAATAGAAATGTACCTCTCTTGTCATTTCTATTTGTATTTCAGCCCTATCAGAAGGATGAATTTATCCTGAAGCTTTCCAGCTCTTTGGGTTTGAACATACTACATTAGTAGTTTGGAATGCATTTGCAATCTATGATACACTTGCCTCTAGAAAGCTTGCTGTCCCTAAAGCCTACCTCATGGCAAAGACATGCTTGGTAAATAACCTTGCAAGTGATATAGTAACTACCATCTATCACTTTGTAAGATGCTAGGGATCATACACTTGGCTAAGTGCTTCACATGAGTTGTCTTTATATGAGCTTGACAATCCTTCTATTGAAGACATTATTTCTATTTCTGTTTTGTCAATGAGAAAGTAAAATTTTGGAGATATTAATAATCTGCTGAATAATTCATGGCTAATAATTGGCAGAGCCAAGTCTTACATTCATGTGTTTCATACTAAGGCACCTGTTGCTACTATAGAAATCTATTTATGCATCTATAAAGTTATTCTGCCTCCCCTACTTGCCCCTTAATGAATATGTACAGGTCTATCTATCTCTCGAATTAACTGTCTACCCTAAAAAAAGAGATGGACTTTCTTGTTCCTCCCACGACTGGAAAAATTATGCTCAATATATTTTAGTGAATTAAATGATCCACATGTCTATATAATCACATAATTAAATTCAATCTGAAACTGTCATATGCTGTCCTCTTTCATCCTCATTGTTAGATATGCAACAGATATTATTGTTCCATTCAATAGACAAAAGCTAAGGCTCAGAAACAAAAGGTCTTGTCCAAATTCACATAGTAACTGGTTGAGCAAGGATTTGTATACAGCTATTAATACTCTTTCATCTACTCTGAGCTTCCTTTTATTGCAATACAAAGATTACACACATTGGAAATAATCTAGATATTAGACCAAAACTCTGAGCTGTCATTAACATGTTTGGCTGCATAAAAGATTGGAAGGATAACTGGCTCTTTGAGACTCACAAATAATACAATCAAGTACACAAAACTCTTAAAAATTATCATTTCCTAAGTTATATTTTATTTATTTATTTGGTTATGAGGATAGTTCTTTTCTTTCAATACTGGAGAAATACTGTGCCATTTCCTTCTTGTTTCTATGTATTCTTATAAGAAGTCTGTTGTCTTTTGAATCATTTTGTCCTAAAATGTAAGATGTCATTTCTTTCTCACTGCTTTCAAGATTTTTCCCTTGTCTTTAGTTTCTGGGAGTTAGATCATCATGTGTCTTAGAACTGATTTTTTGGGTTTGTCTTATTTGGGGTTCACTCAGGTCTTGAATTGTACATTTTTTCCTTTTGCCAAATTTGAGACGTTTTCAGAGACTGGTTATTTCCATGCATTTTTAGGCCTACTCTCTTTCTTCACTCCTGAAATGAAAGTGACATGAATGCTAGATGGTTTTTTAGTCCTCCAGGTTCATGAGATTCTGTTCACCTTATTTTAGCATAATTTCTCATGGTTGTTCACATAGGGTAATTACTTTCTTCAGTTTTTAAAACAGCATTTTTATTTCTCTGTTTGGGTGCATAACAAATTTTGTTTTATGTATGGTTCAAGTCAGGGTATTTAGGGTCTCCATTACCTGAATACAGTACGTTTTTGTTAAGTAAAATCACTCTACTCTGCAGTCAAAGACTGAATTTATTTCTTAGAGCTTACTATATGTTTGTAGCTTTTAACTCAATTCTCTTTATCCTTCCCAACCTCCCTCCACTCACCCTTTCTAATCTGTGTTGTTTCTCATTCCACTCCCTACCTCCACATCCTCAAACCTTTTAGCTCCCCAATGTAAGTGAGAACATGTGTTATTTGTCTTTTTGTGCCTGGCTAATTTCTTTTATTTATTTTTTACTTATTGCATTTTAGGTTTTGGGGTACATGGGCAGCACATGCAAGATAGTTGCATAGGTACGCACATGGCAGTGTGTTTTGCTGCCTTCCTCCCTTTCACCCATATTTGGCATTTCTCCCCAGGCTATCCCTCCCCAGCTCCCCCCACCGGCTGTCCCTCCCCTATTCCCCCCAATAGACCCCAGTGTGTAGTACTCCCTTCCCTGTGTCCATGTGTTCTCATTTTTTATCACCCGCCTATGAGTGAGAATAGGCGGTATTTCATTTTCTGTTTTTGTGTCAGTTTGCTGAGAATGATGTTCTCCAGATTCATCCATGTCCCTACAAAGGACACGAACTCATCATTTTTGATTGCTGCATAATATTCCATGGTGTATATGTGCCACATTTTCCCAGTCTAGTCTATCATCGATGGGCATTTGGGTTGGTTCCAGGTCTTTGCTATTGTAAACAGTGCTGCAATGAACATTTGTGTGCACGTGTCCTTATAGTAGAACGATTTATAGTCCTTTGGATATATACCCAGTAATGGGATTGCTGGGTCAAATGGAATTTCTATTTCTAAGACCTTGAGGAATCGCCACACTGTCTTTCACAATGGTTGAACTAATTTACACTCCCACCAGCAGTGTAAAAGTGTTCCTATTTCTCCACATCCTCTCCAGCATCTGTTGTCTCCAGATTTTTTAATGATCACTAATTTCACTTAAGGTAATGACCTCCAGTTCCATTCATGTTGGTAGAAATGACATAACTTCATTCTTTTGTATGGCTGAATAGTATTCCATCATGTATGTATGCTACATTTTCTTTATTCATTCATCCATTGACAGACAATTAGGTTGATTCCACATGTTTGATATTGGGAATAGCGATGCAGTAAATATGTAAGTGCAGGTATCCCTTTGATATACTTATTTCTTTTCCCTTGAATAAATATCCAGTAGTGGGATTGCTGGATTGAATAGTAGTTACAGATTTAGTTCTTTGAGAAATGCTGTTTTCTTTTGTGACTCTACTAGTTTACATTTTCACCCATGGGGTGTGTAAGAGTTCACTTTTCTTTGCATCCTTTCCAACATCTGTTATTTTTTGTCATTTTAATAATAGCCATTCTGAATGGGGTAAGATGATGTCTCATTGTGGTTGTGATTGGCATGTTTCTGATGAGTAGTTATGTTGGACACTTTTTCATATGCTGTTGGCCATTTGTATTTATTCTTTTGAGAAATGTTGTCTATTCATGTCTTTGCCCACTTTTTAATGATTTCTTTTATGGAGTTGTTTGAGTCTATATTCTAGATATTACTTCCATATTGGATGAATAGTTTACAAATAATTTTGCCTATTCCTCAGGATGTGTGTTCTCTCCAGTTATTTTTGAGTCCTATTTGTTTATTTTTGTTTTTGCTACCTATGTATTGGAAGGTTTTGTCAAAAATTATTTTCTTAGCTCAATGTGTAGAATAATTCTCCCTAGGTTTTCTTATAGTATTTTTGTATTTGGGGGTCAAGCATCTAAGTCATTAATCCATTTTTTGCATTTATTTTTGTATATGGCGAGAGATAGGAGTCCACTTTTGTTATTCTGCATGTAACTATCCAATTTTCCCAGTACCATTTGTTGGAAAGAGTGTCTTTTCCACAGTGTAAGTTATTACTGACTTTGTCAATGATTAGTCGGCTGTAAATATGTGACTTTATTTCTGGGTTCTCTGTTTTATTCCGTTAGTCTATGTATACCAGTGTCAGGCTGGTTTTATTACTGTAGGCTTGTAATATGTTTTGAAGTTAGGTAATGTAATGCCTCCAGTTTTGTTCTTTTTTGCTCAGGATTGCTTTGGCCATTCAGGCCTTTTATTGGTTACATATGAATTTCAGGTTTGCTTTCTTTTTCAAATTATGTGAAAAATAAGGCTAACATTTTGATAGGGAATATGTTGAATCTTTTGATTGCTTTGAGAACTATGGTAATTTATAACAATATTAATTCTTCCAGTTCAAGGGATGGAATTTTTCTTTTTATTTGTTTGTGTATTCTCGAATTTCTTTCATCAGTGTTTTGTAGTTTTTCTGCAGAGATCTTTCACCTTTTGGCTAAGTATATTCCTATGAAGTGTATTTGTATTTTTTGTAGCTATTGTAATTTGGATTGCCTTCTTCATTTCCTTTTGGCTAGATGACTATTGGTGTACAAAAATGATACTAATTTTTGGACGCTGATGTTATATCTTGCAACTTTGCTATATTTATATGTTAAATCTAAGCATTTTTTGGTGGAATCTTTAGGTATTTTCAGGTATAAGTTTATATCATCAGCAAAGAGAAATAATTTGACTTCTTCTTTTTCAGTTTGAATGCTTTTTGTTTTTTTATCAGCCTGATTGCTCTTGCTAGGACTTTCAGTAGCATGTTGAACAGGAGTGGTGAAAGCAGACATCCTGGTCTTACTCCATTTCATAGAGGAATGACTTAATTTTCACCATTGAGTGTAATGTTAGCTGTGAGTTTGTCACATACGGTCTTAATTGATATTAGGCATATTTCTTTTATCCCTGGTATCTTGAGAGTTTATATCAGGCACGATATTGTAGGGATGATTTCTCTAATGCTTTTTCTGTATTTATTTAGGTGATCATATGGTGTCTGTGTTTCATTCCATGGATGTGATGAATCATGCTTATTGATTTGCATATGTGGAATCATCCTTACATCCCTGAGGTAAGCCCCACTTGATCATTGTGTCATATCTTTTTGATGTACTGTAGGAGTCAGTTTTCTAGTAGTTTGTTGAGGATTTTTGCATGTACTCATCAGGCATATTGGTCTGTAGTCTTTCTTGTTTGTTTGTTTGTTGTTGTGGTTTTTGGTTGTGGCCTTGTCTGGTTTTGATACCGGGATGATACTGGCTTCATAGAATGTGTTATGAAGAATACCTTTCTCTTCAATGTTTTGGATTACTTTGAAAACAATTAGTATTAGTTTTTCTTTATACGTTTGGTAGAATTTGGCTGTGAATCCAACTGGTCTTAGATTTTTCATTGTGGGGAGACATTGTTATTAGGTCTTAGATTTTTCATTGTGGGGAGACATTGTTATTACTAATTTAATGTCACTACTTATTATTGGTCATTTCAGGATTTCTGTCCCTTACGGATTCAATCTTGATAGGTTGTATGCTTCCAGGAATGTATTAGTTTTATTAGTTTTAAAATTTTCTAGTTTGTCAGTGTATAATTGTTGGTCTGTGATGCCATGGAATACTCTGCAACCATGAAAAGGAATGAGATGATGCTCTTTGTAGGAAAATGAATGGTGCTGGAAGCTGTTATTCTCAGCAAACTAAAATAGGAACCAAAAACTGAGTAATGCATGTTCTCACTTATAAGTGGGAGCTGAACAATGAGAACACATGGATACATGTGAGGAAGAATAGCTAATGGATGCTGGGCTTAATACCTAGGTGATGGGTTGATCTGTGTAGCCAACCACCATGGCACACATTTACTTATGTAACAAACCTGCACATCCTTGCACATGTACCCCGGAATTTAAAATAAAAGCAGAACATAGCAGAGAGGGAAAGTATTGAACTTGTGTAAGAGAAACACAATTTCAAAAAAAAGGTGGGGCTTAAGTAAGTGGAAAGGGATAAGATTTAAGGGCATGAGAGAGGAGACAAGTTTGGAGAAAGAGTCTCAGATAAAGAGATAGGATAGTCTCTTATGTAGAAAGTCAGTCAGTCATAGCAGTGATACTCAAACAGAATAGCATTACTGGGGAGGTATCTATATCATTTATCTTTCAAGTTATTGATACTCAATACCATTTTGCTGTTTATTTTCAAAATCATGGATGCTAAGAACTTGCCCTGGGAGTCAGATTAAAAAAACAGGGGAACTTCTCCTTCTCCAGAGTCAAAATCCAGACTTGCTATGAAAATGAAACAGTGTCACAATAACACAGTTTTACATCCAAGAAATAAAATGTTCTTCAAGAATATAAACAGATATTGCCATATTTATAATGCACTGTAAATGACAGAATTCCAATGAACTATTTTTATTTCCTTTGAAATGCCCCTAAGGAAAGAACAGACATTTCTATATTGTGCTCATTAACAGCCATTTGCCATATTTAGCCTTTGGTAGACCAACAACAATTAGCTTCTTTTTCATTCTTGACAGTTTTAAATGTTGTGAAACATGGTCATTCATATTTATTAACTACCTAAGCTATTACTTTTCTCAAAAGAATTTTTCTATTTCCTTTTCCTACTCTACGATTTTGGTCAAAAAATGAACCCCATTAAATGCAAGAACAATAGAGAACCTTATTGGTTATTTCAATGGCAGATAAGTTAGTCACTTTAAGGGAATGAAGTGCCAATTCAGCTGTGAAGTGGTGTGATGTGATGCTGGAAGCTTCTGAACATATTTTATACTTGACAGTAATAATATTGAATTAATATGTCTCTGCAAGGCTTAGAAAATCTGGTTCAAATTTAGCCCAATTTATCAAGGTTTGGCAGAGTTATAAGAATTAGCAAATCATGCTGTGACTTAAAATTAGCATTATGAATATTTAGGAGCTGTTAAAACTATGGGCTAAATATATAAAATGTCACTGTCACCATATAAAAACATAGTTTCAAATGTTAAGAGAGGAAGGCTTATTAGAGTCCAATATGGTACCAAGTTTAGCATTTGATTTTACTTTGGAGATCAACGTCTATGTAAATGTTTTCTTTTAGTAATAAAATGTCCTCCACATCTGCTTCAAAGATGTGAGCTCAGGGTCTCTTTCTGTCCTCCAATCAGTCTTCCTTTACCTCCCTTTGCCGTTTAGGGAATACAAAGGGACACTTCATCCTTCTAACAAGCAGAAGAGTCCCTTCCAGGGACTCTGTCTTGTCTGTCCTACCCTGGGTTCCATGGAGAATCTAATGGTTATATTCAGCTATTTGAACCACACATGATTAAAAGTGGAAGTATAATTTTTTGAGAATTGAATCTATGACATATATTTGTCTCCTGAGAGTCCACTACCAACATATTGTTATCCAAAAATTATACAATTTTATTTTCATTTTACTTCTTTGGACTAGAATTTAAATAAAAAGAAAATACCAACCTGAGTAGGATGCTTTTCTTTTAAGCGAAATTAGGTCAAATAAACTGAATGGTGTGATAGATGAGTGGTTATATCCATAGAGAGCTTGTTAAAAGGTAACTTACAGTAGGTAAGAGGGACTGAGAACCTTGAGGAAAGCTGATAACCTAACTTTTAAGGAAAAAATACCTTTCAGTTCAGCTTTGTTCTCAGAAAGTCTCTTTTGTGTTTATGAGGGCAAAAGTGAGGCTATTAAAATATTTGTAGCCAAAAACAAAAAGTTTTATTTTGTTTCATTGTGTTTTGCTGGCCATTTTAAGCAAAGCTTTTTCTCCTTATCCAATAGGAATTATCTACATAATTTGAGATTTCATTTTTATATTGTAAAACATTGTTTAAATACTGAAGTGATGTTTTAAGCACAAAATAAACACTCCTGATTATATTTCATACTTGAAATTTGTAGTTGGCATTCATTGAAGATGAATCTTTTAAAATGGTTTTCCTTTGGAAATACAATTGGTGAGCAATTTCGCATCAAAAAATAGAAAAACTAAGATCAAATAAAATGAAATAATACATAATACACTACTAGAAATGTGGCTTTGAATAAAATAGAAAAAAATTGATATTAATTGTACTAAGAAAATCTGATCTTAACATGATATTATCATGTTAAGATGTTTTAAATTTCTGAAATTATCAAAACATAATGAATAAAATCCAGTTCTAATGAGTGGTTAGCAACATGTGTAAACAACAAAACAAATACCAAAACAAACTCTTCATAATTTTTCAAGTAATAGTCAAAACAGTTCTGACACATTTTTTTAAGTGTGTAATGGGGGGAGGCTTGGACTTGACTGATGTGGAGGAAGTGGGTTTTCTTACCTTGGATTAAAATGTGCCACATTATGGAGAAGGGGGACGTGGTTTCTCTCTAATTGCCATGTTATGGAGAAGGGAGAAGTGGGTTCTCTCTATTGGCCCTGGATTAGGGTGGGGTGTGACATGTTATGGGAGTGGAGGAAAAAAATCAAATCAAATTAAAGAGAAAATTTTGCAGGAAATGGCACCAGCGTTGCACTGTTGACTAAGTCTCTCTTGGTTAAATGTGAGGGCTGACTTGAGGGCTCTGAATCTTCAGAGGGAGGTCTCATGACAGTGTTCCTGTTGTTGAGGCAGAGGATGGACAGAAAAGGAGTGGGGAAGGGAACACGAATGCAGTGTTTGTACTGAATGTGTCCTTGATTGAAGTAGAAACTGTGCCTTTCTCCGAGAGGGGTGATTATTTATTTATACACTGACATGTATTGTATGACCATCTTGTCATCCACCCTGAGACTGTCATGTGCTATAGTTCCTAGGGATATCAGAAGTTCATGATATTGTCCTCTTGGAAACTCGAGTCTAAAACAGCTTTACTTTTAATGAATCAATATTTGTGATAATTTGTTCTTGATTTTATTCATCTAAGATGAGTATTGCCTGCATTTGCCAAAAATTAATTTACACATTTCTTTTTTTTTTTTTTTTGAGACGGAGTTTCACTCTTGTTACCCAGGCTGGAGTGCAATGGCACGATCTCAGCTTACCGCAATCTCCGCCTCCTGGGTTCAGGCAATTCTCCTGCCTCAGCCTCCTGAGTAGCTGGGATCACAGGTGCACGCCACCATGCCCAGCTAATTTTTTTCTGTATTTTTAGGAGAAACAGGGGTTCACCATATTGACCAGGATGGTCTCGATCTCTTGACCTCGTGATCCACCCACCTCGGCCTCCCAAAGTGCTAGGATTACAGGCTTGCGCCACCGCGCCTGTCTCTAATTTACACATTTCTTTAAGTTGTATATTATTTTTTATTATTTTGTTTGCAACTCAATGTTAATTTAATTTTAAAGATGTCTTCCACTCATGTACCCCAAAACCTATAATCCAATAAAAAATTAAAAAAAAAAAAAAAGATGTCTTCCATAATTGGAGGGCACGCTATAAACACTGAAATAATATATCACAACACACACAAACAGGGTAGAGTCAGAGCAGGTGCATAACAGAGCCCAGCACTGGAGAACTTGATGACTAAGCGACATCTAAGCCAAGGGGAACATTTTTTATCTATTGTATGTTTATAATATATTTAGCAGTTTCCTCCTTTGTTTTAGTGACTAAAAAATAAACCAAGAAACCTGCTAACAAATGATTTGAAAGGATATCTAAACGTTCCACATCAATGGTTTGACCCCACAAATTATCCAGATTATCTATTCTATGTGTAAAATAGAATATTATTTAGTCATTAAAAAAAGAAGGAACTGTCAGATACTACAACATAAATGAGCCTTGAGGACATTATGCTATGTGAAATAAACCAGTCACAGAAAGATAAATATGCATGATTTCTCTGTATGAGAACCTAAAATAGTCAAACTCATTGAAGCTAGAAGAATTGCTTGCCAATTGCTAGGAGGAAGGGAGAAGTGGGAAGTTACTGTTCCATAGGTAGAAAAAACCAGTCATACAAAATGAAAAATTTCTAGAAAACTTCTGTACAACATTATGTTTCAGGTTTATAATTCGGCACTGTTACTATTAACAGAAATTTATTAAG